GCCACCCAAGCAGACAGCTGCTTGCAGAGGAGCCCTCGCCTAGGCACGTCAGGAGGCATCTATATGAACTAACGGACGAAGTCCAGAGGTTCATTAAGCAACCTCTGGACCCGACAGCTTACAGACAGGCCCTGAACGGCATTCACAGGGACTCAGTCTCGAGTTATGTAGACTCTAGACCTGTGAATGCCGTTCTAGTCACACCACCCCCGGACATAGACGAGACGGAGCTTCATCTGCCTCGGGAGACACGCACTACACTCGCACAACTTCGCTCCGGCTACTGCAGCAGGTTAAACTCCTACTTGAGTAGGTTGAATGAGGATGTGCCGAACGAATGTCCGGCATGCGGAGAGACCCCACATGACTCGAAACATCTCTTCGCATGCCCGGAAAACCCGACAACCCTAACGGCCTTGTCCCTATGGGCAAACCCCGCAGAAGCTGCACGCTTCCTAGGGTTGCCGTTAGTGGAACTTGACGACAACGACTGAGATACCAACCGATCTGGGCGGGGTTGTTGTAGCCGCTACAACAACCACAACAACAACAATGACGTTAGAAACTTCAGGCCTATATCTAAACTCACCACATGTTCGAAGCTTTTTGAAAAAGTCGTGAAAGAAAAACTATTCTTCACTGTTAAAGAAATTATCGACCCGAATCAGCATGGTTTTTTCTGTCGGCGTTCCACAACCACCAATCTGGCGGAATTTTCCCAATTCTGTATCTCATGTTTCAAAAGCGGTTCTCAAGTAGATGTTATCTACACTGATTTTTCTAAAGCGTAAAAAATTGGTATCCATTCAACTTTTCTTTCTTGGTTAAGGTCATATCTCTCGAACAGAATCACCTCCGGTGTCCCTCAGGGCAGTATCTTAGGACCGCTATTGTTTGTTCTCTTTATAAATGATATTGGGAGATGCTTTAAGCGAGTCGTGTTCGATGGCTCCGAAAAATTAACCAGTGGATACTCGTTCCAACCATCCAGCCTAAACTCTTCAACACACTTTTGCGTTTTCGTATGTTCAAGGTAGCCTTAACGGGAGATGTCTGCAAGATGTACCGCTGAGTCCGCATTTTGCATCCGGATTATTACTTGCAATGCATCCTATGGCGAGGCGACCCCAAAGCTGAATTAAAGGCATACACACTGGACACTGTTACGTATGGTACCAGGCCCGCCGCGTTTTTGACGATTCGTGCTATGCATCAACCGGCAACAGACGAAGAAACAAACTTCCCGCTTGGAGCACATATCGTCCGCCGAGATTTTTACGTCGACGACCTCATCACTGGTGCAGACACCCTGGAACAAGTGATTGAAATTCGTCGCCAAACATCACAGCTACTTCGCAGGGGAAATTTCATTCTTCGAAAGTGGTGCTCAAACGTTTCTGCTTCTCTCAATGGAGTGGCTGAATTTGACCGTGAGCCGTTGCTACAGTTCCGCGATGGTACGCACATTACAAAGGCGCTTGGACCAGTATGGGACCCAAAATCAGATGACTTCATTTTTTCACTCGCACCTAAAAGAAATCACAGACAGGTAACTAAACGCGTCGCATTATCAACAATAGCTCGGTTTTACGACCCACTAGGACTCATAGCTCCAGTTCTAACTCAAGCAAAAATATTCATACAAAGCATGTGGAAAGAACGAATTCACTGGGACGAAAGCTTGTCACAGCATTTGCACAAGAGTTGGACCGATTTCTGCGGTGAACTTGAATTAGTATCCAATTTTCATTTCCCTCGATATGTACTAATGCCAAATTCTCACTTAGAACTTCACGCATTTTGTGATGCTAGCCTAGCTGCGTACGGTGCATGTGTATATGTCCGAGCGCAATACATCGATGAAGTCAGAACCAGCCTATTATGTTCGAAATCAAGAGTAGCGCCATTAAAGACTCTCACAATACCCAATACTATCGCAATCCTTCAACATTTTCATCAAAAATTTATGCATGCTGGACCGCAAAGCTTAACAGCCTAGATTCGATTACAATTTTGGCCGATTGGTGGGCGAAAGACCGTAGCCGGTGTAATCAACAAATGCTTAAGGTGCTTATAAATAAATATGTACAGGAGTATGAATATAAATTCCGCAAGAAAATAAACTTTTTTACTTTGTAACCTCTTCTTGAAACCTAAAGTCATGGCGCGTAGTCGCATCGTTTTATTTTTGCATTAGTTGGCTTGCCAGCTCACAACAATATGTATATGTTAAATTTTATAAGGGGAGTAACCATTTAAAAATTTTACGAATAATGAAAAGTTACGAAATTTCGAAAACACACTCGCAAAAATCATGTATAGTACATTAAAAATGTAAATATGCCAAATTTGGCACACCCTGCGCTCTAATGTTAAAATTCATACTTGGAATATTTTTTAAAAATTATGAATACAAAGTTTGTTGTTGTGAAATTTTTTTTATCTACAAAGTTTGAGATGTGGATTTCTTTGGTGTTAGGTATTATATAATTAGCTAGACTTTAATAAAAAATTAATAAACATTATACAAACGAAAGGTAAATAGTCAAAACTCGCCGAGATGTTGTGTATCTATGGAATATCAATTTCGGAATAAAAAAAAAGTATTGTACTGTATAGAAACGAGCGTTAGGTTTTGTAGACCATTCAATATAAGTATAATAAAGTCCACGTGAATCCCGTTGATTTTTGAGATTTTTTTTTACGAAGGTGTTGCCATTTTCTTCTTGCACAAAGTTTTAAACTTTGGCTTATATGGTTTATGGTGTAGAATCTACTGTATTTTTATATAAAATTTACGAAAAAATATGTCAAGTAAAACATTGTGAATATTGGAAAAGATAAAAGGGCGCTATTTACGTTAGCGCCTATGTTCATATGTACATTCATCTTATATCAAAATATTTTCGTAAGAACATAAGAAATATTTATTTGCGAATTAACTAATTTAATTACCTCAAGATACTCAGCGATATGCTCACAAGCATCCTCTAACTGATTTTCATCTAGTATAACATCAAACAATTCCGATGGACATTGGGCTAATTTTTCCGCGGCAACCATTTGAACTGAAAGATTCTTAGCTTGAGATTTTCCTCGAGATTTTATTAAACGTTGAAGAACCTGAAAGGAAACGTTATTAACAACATACATCGATACAAATTTTCTCCGCATTGTGTTTTAATACATGAAATTAAAAAACTAGTTTAAGCAATTTTTAAACATAACACAAAATAAGTTATGGCCGTGCAACAAAGCCATAGGAAATAACGCTACATGGCTTTATTTCAATTCACATTGAGATTTGAGTACATATGGCTTTACTTCCATGGTGAAAGTGAAATATAGCAACAACAAAAAATGTTACATATGAGAAATAAAGCCATGCGATCTTATTTGAACACAAAAAGTAAATGTTGTCCCTTTAGTGGCGATTTAAAAGAAAATTTCATATACATTATCGAGTACTGGTGGCAACAAAATATTATTTTGTTCCCCCTTCGTAATATTTACCTATTTCCTTTCACTTCAGCCGATAGGAGTGAAGTCTACCGACACTCTATCGTAAATACATATCGTCGTTTAAAGTACAAAACCCCGTATCGTCATTCTGCAAAACCGCGTAACTGACATTGGCTGCCAAAAATTGGATTGGCTCACACAAGCTCTTGACTCAATCCTTATCCATTCGTCCTGAAATATACTACCCAGAAATGCGATTGCTTTATAAAAAAGAAAACCATTTAGAAATATGAGTGTTTTTGTCCTTCTTCTTTTTTGGCGCTGTAACCGCCTAAGCGATTTTGGCCGAGTTCAGCAAAGCACGCCAGTCTGTGCCAACGGAAGCCAATTGGAAACGCCAAGTGAAGTCCTTCTCCACCTGATCTTTCCATCGTAGTGGGGGCCTCCCTCTTCCTTTGCTACCACCAGCGGGTTCCGCGTTAAATACTTTCAGAGCTGGAGCGTCGGTGTCCATTCGAGCGACATGACCAAGCCAGCGGAGCAGCTGTATTTTAATTCGCTGCACTATGTCCATATCGTTGTAAAGCTCATACAGCTCATCGTTCCATCGTCTGCGGTACTCGCCGTCGCCAACGCGTAAAGGACCGTAAATCTTCCGCAAAATCTTTCTCTCAAACACCCCAAGAGCCGCCTCATCGGATGTTGTCATTGTCCATGCTTCTGCGCCATATACCAGCACGGGCATGATCAGTGACTTATAGAGCATATAGGTTCTCGAACGTCG